CCTCTAGATGCTGGGGATTGGTTACATGCCCCCCCCCCCTCCCCCAATCCTTTGTACTGGATCATGCAAATAATGTTAAAGCACTTCATTTTCCTTGGGAAAAAAAGGGTTAAATATGCTTTCAATCCTATGCAACTTTGGTTTATAGTCCCTGTAAATTTTTTTGTCAAGTCATTCTAACAAAATTTTGCATTTTGAAAATGATCCATAAGCCTTTCTAAAATTCAATATAATTGGGTTCATTTTAAGATATAGTTTTGATGCATCAAATCTTTTTTAAAATTCATTTATTTAAATTATATTTAATTATGATGAAAGGATGTCACCATTTGACCAAAAAGGTGAAAATAAGAAAGAGTTAATGTAAGAAAGGGAGGATCGTGTTCTAAAAATATTTGAAAATTGGAGATGTAACATGAACAAAGACATAATTTAGGGCATGAGAACGGTGTTATCTCAGAATTAGGACGTGTAGTACAAAATAAATGTGTTATTGCAAATTTGGTTTAAGGACTATTTTCAAAATAAAAAAATTTGTAAGAACGATTTGACAAAAAAAAAGTAGAGGGATATTTGTAAAAAATTTGTAAAAACAAAACTCGTTTATTTTACATAGACTAAAAATATATTTAACCCAAAATAACCACATGCCAAATTATGCATATGTTCCAGTTAAAATTAAAATAAAATTTTAATAGACTAATTATTTTATTTAATTTTTAATACTCTCTCCGTCCCAAAAAGTTTGTTACGTTTAGAAAAAACTGCGTCCCGTAAAGTCTGTTACATTTCTATTAAAAAACCACTTTTACCCCTTACTTTTTCATACCTTACCTATCACATCATACCTTTTTCCTAATAATCTACCCATCACATCCTACTTTTACCCATCACATCAAGAGTATTTTTGGAAAATCAATACCAAAATATTTCTCCTTTATTTTCCCAAAAAGTCAAACCGTCACATTCTTTTTGGGACGGAGGGAGTACTATTTACAACTATATTTCGTACTTTATTTTAAAAAAAATAATGTAAAAAGTGAATGATTGAAAATGTACTATCAAGAGAGAAGAGCATACCTTGGGTGGGATGAAAGATATCCCACATGGGAGTGACTGTGAATCTGTCATGGCTACAATTAGCTATGCATATGCCAAATCTGGAAAAAATAAACAATTACTCCGTATTATTTAGAAGAAAAAGTAAAAATTAAATTATTGTAATGAATTGCATAACTCATTTACCTTTTCGAAAAAAAAGAGTTTTGTGAGGAAAAAATTGATTCGGTCACATCTCTTCCCAGATTTGGACTTAGCAAAGCATAATCTGGAGAATCAATATATTAAGCATTTTCAATAAGATAATAAAAGAAAATCGGTGTATATCATCAATAAATCGAATAAAAGAATTAATTATTATTGAATAAATATTGGTGTATCATAAATAAAAGAAAATGTTTATTATTGAATTGAATAAATCTTTTACCGTTCGGAAATTTGTTTTTCGCCGATTTAATCACCAGAAATAGATGATGAGTTTTCTTTCTTCTTTTAGGTCGACCGAACCTGAGATGGGATGGATGTGAGTATATCACATAAAGAAGAAGGATGCATGATTTAATCACATCCCTCCCAGAATCCAATGTCCTCCGGAGTATGTTTTACTCCTAGATCTGAAACCCTCCGTAATTAATGACTGACAAGTGTCCCTAAATCCAGCTTCCTCTTTTTATCTTTCTTTTTTGGGCAATCCTAGGGTACCCCAACATGGGGTACCCCAAGTATACACCAAGCCAACACAGACACACACAAACACAAAATGTCTGTGCAACATAGACACTTTGTGTCTGTGTGTATCTGTGTTGGCTTGGTGTACACTTGGGGTACCCCATGTTGGTGTACCCCTAGCTTAATTCTTCTTTTTTTTTTCTTTTTTTAATGGTCTGTCAGTTGTCACGAGGGTTTTCATTTTTTTAATTACTGCTTTTTCATAACTATCTCTGTCTCAGAGTATTTGTCCACTTTCATTTTTACACATCATCTAATACACTTCTTTAATCCATTTTATCTTGTAATTTGTATATTAAAAAATTATAGAAATTATATATTAATAATCTATATGTTAAGACAAATCAAACAAAATCACACATGACTATATTTACGCTTACACATTGAGACAATTTGATAAGTCAAAGTGCTTAGATAAACGATTCTAAAAGTCAAAACTGGACGAATACTATGGGACGGAGGGAGTACCAAGTAGTACTACCAAAAATATTTAAGTTTGCAAATAAACATACTTCCTCAGGCCCTAAATATTTGTCATATTTGTATTTCAACGGTAAAATTTCAAATTTTTTAGATTCATTTTATTTACATATTGGTATAGAAACAAAAAATAAAATTTACATATCAAAAAACTACATGAAAATTTTTTCGATATAAGTCGTGTGAAGAATATTTTATTTTATCAAATAACCAATGAAAAACGTAGAAATAAATAAAAGTTCCCGCGACTGCTGAAAAAACAAATGTTGTAAATATTTAAGGACGGAGGGAGTTAAACATTACTCTTATAATCTTTGGTCATTTTTTTCTCAAATAATTTTTTTACTTATTACTTGTTTTTATTAGAATTAGATTAGACCAGATCCGAAATAGTTTAAATATAACTACATTGATATCAGAACTTATTCCAGATCTGAACCATTCAATCAAATCTGAACCAATTAAATCACGTAAAGAGAATATTACCTTATAATTTGAGTACATTTTTAAATAGTACACACTAAAACTCAAGCATGATTATAAAAAAGTGTTTAAATTAAAACTAAAATAAATATAAAAAGTGTGTTAAAAAAAATTGAAAGTACATGAGAATAAAAAGTGCACTAAAAATGTAAAACTATAAAATCTAGAAGTGGTGGAGCATAATTAAAATTGTGTTTCAAAATTAACATTTCGATATTAAATTTAAATTACTCCCTCCCTCCGTCCCACTTTAAATTCATATTTTGATTTACAATGTTTATCCAAATTTATTTTCAAATCATTTTATATGAAAAATGGTCTAAAATTAAAAAAAATAAATACTACATATTTAAAAAATATATCAAAAGATTTAAAAAATTAGTTGTGACATGACCATTAAAAAAATTTCAAATTATTTACGAAAATATAGAAAGAAAGTGAGTAAAATTTAACCATATAAATGGTAAACATATAATTTATTTTTTAATGAGAATTGGACAAATATGTCATTAATTTAAGTTCACATATCCTTTTTTTTCTTTTTACACTATTATGGGTGAATATGTATATTTGTAATCAACTAGTATAATACCTGAGCGTTGCACGGGTCATATTTACATTACTAAATTAAAATTATTTTTCCACGGCACGGTTTTACTTAATTACTAATTTAAATTAGTATACCCTAAAAGTCTTACCGTATTACCTTTTTTTTAATTAAATACCATAAAAAACTAACATTTTTAACCGTGTGCATTTGCGCAAGAATTCCATGGAGCCATTTTCCCTAACTTTTAAGAATAGAATAAATTACTAATTTAAATTAGTATACACTAAAAGTCTTACCGTGTTACCTTTTTTTAATTAAATACCATAAAAAACTTACCTTTTTAACCGTGTGCATTTGGGCAAGAATTCCATGGAGCCATTTTCCCCTACTTTTAAGAATAGAATAAATAATACGGAGTATAATATAATGTCAATAACGGGATATGTTTTTCTCAACACAACATTTGTCACTATTTATACAAAAAAACTGAAAAATGAAACAAATGTTTTTTAAATAAATATCATCGTGTAGTTATGTTAGAAATTTAGTTTACAAAATTAGAGGACATATTACTTTGTATGTATAACTAATTAATTTTTTTGTTTTTAAATCATAATTTAAATTTAAATTATTGGAACGTGTGTCTACGCAATTAACCCAAATAAAGAAACTAACCATTTTTATTCATACACATTAAACACTAAAAGCCATAATTCCTTTTTTATTAATGTAATTTTTTAAAAATTGTACTATGTAGGTATAATCAATAAATTTTTCTTTTAATTTAATTCGTAATTTAAAAAATTATTAGTTGGTCTACGCAATTGACGTTCTAAAAAAGAAAACTAACCTTTTTATTCATATGCATTAAACACACAATTTTACTTAATTACTAATTTAAATTAGTATACCCTAAAAGTCTTACCGTGTTACCTTTTTTTTTAATTAAATACCATAAAAGTCTTACCTCCTTTTTAATCGTGTCCATTTGGGCAGGAATTCCATGGAGCCATTTTCCCTTGCTTTTAAGAATAGAATGATGATTAGGTGGATTTAGCCAAAATAGGTGTGATTTAGCAACACCCAATAAAATTGTAAACATATTACTTTAGGACTTGTTCTTTACAACTGAAAAAAAGAGTTGCATGTTGGATGAAGCAGTTGAAGCTGGAAAAATTGAAAAAAAAAAGGAAGGAGCTAAAAAAACTAAGAAAAACTACAAGCAACTAAAGAAAATTAGGTAGAACCGAATAAATGGAAAAATTTAAAAATCCAAAAAAACTATATGGTACTCTCAATTTTTTGTTAAGAACTCACGCTTTTTCTATCTATTTGGTTTTTAGAATTGAAAAATCCATTACTTTAACAAATATTAAGTTTTAGAGTACCTTGTCAAAGTAACAAAAATGTCAATCCTATATGAACCCTAGGAGTAGTGGGAGTATACTTTGGAAACTAAGAGTTCTTAATTGCCCAAAAATCAAGGTTACACCGGAGTACATGTCAAGTAATATGAGAGCGGAGAATTCTTAATTACCATAGAATGGAACGTACGGGGAGTAAATTTATATGGTCCGATTCCAAACCACAAACCACAAATGCGACATTAAGGGTCCGTTTGGTACAAGGAATTGATAGAATTGGAATTGAATTGGAATTAAAATTTCATGGGATTCAATTCTATATAATTGAATTCCCCAATTTCAATTCATTTTTTGCACTACCAATTCCAAATTAACATAATTTTTGTGCTACCAAACATGAGAATTAGAATTGAAGTCCTCAATTCCAATTCCATAATTTGAATTCCATGTACCAAACAGGCCCTAAGAGAACGGATAAGAAGAAATCTTAATTCCAACGACAGATCAGAGAAGAGCGAATATAACGGGAGAGAGAAAAAAACCGATCAGAACGCACCACAAAAACAACAACAGAATGAGAAGGGGAAAAAACAGAGATCTAATTAAGAACAAGGATATACCCGAGCGATCCGATGAGATGATTATATGGTGGTGATGATGAAGATGAAGAAGGATGCATGATTTAATCACATCCCTCCCAGACTCCAATGTAATGTTTTGCTCTTAGATCTGAACCCCTCCGTAATTAGATATCCCCTGCGGGAGATGTTTCTTCTTTTTTGGGCTGGATGTAGAGTACTCCGTAGACCATAGGTTTCCTCCGTTTAATAAGAGTAATAATGACTGACAACTGCTACTCAAAAGCTTTCCTTTTTTTTCTTTTCCTTTTTGCTTTTCTGGTTTGGCCTCATTTCGTTCTAACTTGTTTTTTTAATTTTTTTCTTATTTTTATTAAAATCACATCACATCACACCAAATTAAATCTAATCAAATCAGATAAGACTAAATCTTCAAGATTAGATCAGATTCAATCAAATATGATCTAATCAAATCAGATCACATCAGATTCAATCCGATTAGATCAGAACTATAAAAAATCAAATCAGATCATAAAAATAAGTTGAACGGAACGGAGCTCCGTTGGTCAGGACTCCAAAATCATTGAACCAAACATACTGCAAGAGTCCAAGTACTATCATATTTGTCTTTAGTGAAAAGGAAGAGCCTCATCCCCGAGAGCCCCTCGAACCCGACCAGATGGTTACTAAGAGGAGGTAAATTAGATTTTAATCTCAAATTGATGGTAAAGAGTGAAACTTACATCTAGTACTCGCAGATCATCTTCATGGTTTGCAGGTTGGAGCACAAAATCAATTTGAAAATTATGAGTTAAATTCTATAAATTGGTAAATCAATAAAAATTGAAAATTTTATATTAAAAAATTATATCAAAAGTATTACTAAACAAGAGATAAAAAATATTTTATTTTATCAAAATCAATATAAACACATAAATAAACAAAAGTTATCGTGAAGAGAGAGAAAAAATAAAAGTGTAATCAAAATCAAGACGGAATGAGTTGTTGGAGTTGTGCCCTGATGGCCAACTGTTTATCGTTATTTTATCATGTATAGACAGATATAATATGTTTACACATCTCATGCTAATGTAAACAAATCCTATATTCCTATATTTATATTAAAAAAAGATGTTTATCAGATAGTGTTATTCTGCTATTGAGACTAACATCTTGACATAAATATTTATCTAAATGTCCATAGTCGAGTATTAACGAGTGTGGGATATCGTTAATGCATGTGAGACTAGTGTGTGTTGGATGTTTGACATAGTCTCATAGTCAATGATGGTGTTTTTCTTTTTGAATTTATGGATTTATATCCTAATTCGATTCATTTTAATGAATTTTTGTATTGTTTTGTTCGGATTTGATTGATTATCATGTTTTTTTTCTAATTTTTGTTATCATCTTGGTGTGATAGACCGATTCTTGGGGAAAGGGACGTCTGCCACTTAAGATTGAGCTCGATCAATGCTTTTTTTTATACTAAGGACAGGGACCGGTCAAAGTATGACCGTTCACTTTTATCAATCACCAAATGAGGTTAACTCTTCGATTTGGATGGGTCAAAAGTTGACCGGTCACTTCCACTAAAAAAGTGACCGCTCACATTTTGGGCGATAGTGAAAATATCACCTTATTCTACGAAGGACATTCTAGAAGACCAAAGAGACGGGTTGAGCGCAAGAAATGACCGGGTAACCTTTCAGAGAAGGTGACCGGTCATATCACTTTACTTGGCTAACATTGGTCCAGTCTCTTAGGCATGGTGAACCACGTCAGAGGTCAAGGGGACACCCCACCGCTCATCCATCACGAGGCACACAGTGAAAGCGATGTTTGTCATTTTGCAGGGTTGATTGGATTGAGAATATTCATTTTAGTCTTTGATTGAACAATGCTTTTTGGTTGTATTAGTAGCAAGTCAATGATTGTACAGTGCTTCCATTATCTACAGTGACCTTCCCACGAGCTTCCTATTTTGTCCATGGATGAACAGGGGAAGGTCACAAATCCTCCTCTATAAATATGATGATATTGGATAGAGGAGGGGATCCATTCTTTCTCTCACTAAAAATAGTACACTCTTGAGACAGAGTAAGAAATATAATTCGGACTGAGGAGATTTACCCGGTCTATGTCATATTTTGTGTTCTTGTTGTGTGTTTTATATTACGGGTCAAGTGTCCAGGTTAAAACTCGGTTAACCCGCCCATCTATATTTACACCATCATTTTTGGCGCCACCCGTGGGACCGATTTTAAAGTTTTTTCGACCAGGTCAAAACTTTAACCCCACTAAATATCCACAATCATGTCTTCAAGCAACCACAACACTGTGTCAAGCCAGGCTGCGAGTGAAAGTACTCCTGCCATCCCATTGATGATGCCAGGCATGGGGACGACCTTTGCCCCGGTCACCACGGTAGGATCAGTTGGCATGATCCCAATCATGTCAACCCCTACTCCTGCTCCAACGAAAACAATGTTCCCAGGCTCGATAACAACGCCTGGGGTGGGCATTCACACCATACCCGTCAGCTTGGGCACAATTTGCTGCTGACCCGGCAAATGCTCAGGCTCTACAGGGCTATCAACAGGTGATGGCCATGATGCAACAGGCAGGGGGGCTTCATGCCATTTGCCTATCCTGTCATGACGCCGCCAATCATGCCACCTCCGGTGTCGACCCCGTCGACATTTGTCCCTAAGATGGTCCATATACGCCCGGTGAATCTGACGGGGACCATGAATGAAGCAGCACCCTCAAATGTCCATGAGGTCGATGAGGCGGAGCAAGAGGCGGCCCGCAGGAGGAAGGGTAAGGCTATAGCCAAACCCAGCAAGACCCGAGATTCGGCGTTCAAACGCCTAGGGGACAAAGAGGATGGGCCCCGCAAGTCTGCCAAG